GAGAAGGCGCTAGGATGGGAAATGATCGAGGAGCAGCGGGAAATTTGAGATCAAACGGGTAGATAGGTTGATTTGTTGTAGATGTTCGATTTGGGTGAAATAGAACTAATAGCATAATTAGTTGATTATTTTCCCATCCATAAGGGTTAGTTCCTAATTTATTTATCTGTTTTTTTTCTCTCCGATATAATCAAAGCATTGCGCAGGAATGTGTCACACTTTTTTTCGATAAATTGCCTTAAATTTACCCATTTTAATCTAATACAATTACCCAATATTTACTCATCTGTTTTATCTTCTATCTTTTTTTCTTTCGATTATTAAATGGTTCGATTTAATGTTTATACTTCGTTCATAGATCAAAAAATAGACAGAATTTGTAGTGAAAAGAGTAAATGATCTTTCTAGACAGGAAAACTCATGGATTAAGTATAAACAGTTGGATAAGTTGTAAAAAAAGCTTCGAATAATCATTCTTACAGTGATTGGATTTAAAATATGATCATCAGTAATAATTGTCTTGAAAATGAATATCAAAATTCTGCCTGAAACAATTTGATTATTATAAGGGCAAGCTATATTCATTAGTACCTTTTTATTTCTGAGTTGTGTTCTCGAAGTTATTAATGATTATCATATTTTAAGTCTTATGATTGGTATACAAAATGGTTAGATTTAGAGTTTTTCTTTTTTATCGAAATTTCTTTCCTATATTGCGTACTCAATTCTTCATTATTGTTAATCCATTATTGTTTTAAATGTTTATCAGTTTCTTGTTTCTTTCTAACAGTAATATCTTTTTTTTTAAATATAATTTTATCGTTATTTTTTCTTGACCACCACTGCTTTGTCCATTGATACATTTTTCGCTTCATGATGTTTGCTTCAATTTCATTTCAAAATTTCACTGTATTCCCACCCATTATTCCCTCCTGTTTCCTAGACTAAAACTGCCACTACTACCGATCTTCCAAATCGATCGATCAGTTTGAAATGATGATTCCATCAATTAACTGTCTTCGTTCGGTCATCGAAAAGCGCGCTAAGCAATACAATTAATTGCTTCGAATCTTCCAGACAGGAGGAAAAAAAAGGAAACCACTCCGCTTCCCCAAAAATCTTTTCCAGGTGAATGGCGGGTAAATTTTGCGAAGCTATTAAAAAAGGGGAAAAAAATATTCTGGGGAAAGCTATTGTGAGAGAGTGAGATCTCCGATTTATCACTACGTCTAACATATTTCAATCATGTGGATTACATAAGTTCTTATTTAAATTTACATGATTATTTTAAAAAATCATTTACTTCATAAGTTATTTAAATTATTAAGTTTAAAAATTTTTTACTGTCGACTAAAAATTATTGAGGGTTTTTTTTTTCACTGCATTGATAAGTTTTATTATTTAATAGATGTTAAAGAATTCAAAAGCATGGGCTGGACGTATTTTCTCATTTTCCTCCCCTACTAATACCATTTGCAATTGTGCGGAGCTTTAAATCATTATGTAGAAATGGAATAAATTAATAATTTAAGTATAACGTGCAATAAAATCACTGCTTAAGAGACAGAAGTTAAGAGAAAAATAGAATGTAAAAATTATGTTAATGTTATTTAAAGTATTCAAAGAAATGATCATTGGAAATTTTTAGGCGTAAAACGCTGCGCCTAGTGTAACAACAGTCGAAAACAGAAAGATGAATGCTTTCATTTGGAGATTTTTCAAAAAGTCCCTCCATTTTTTCTCTTAATGGATAGTTCATTAACTTAGAAAAGGTTAATCTTCAATATTTCAGACTGCGGAGGGCTAACTCTACTGAATTTTACTACTAACACTGAACTCCAGCTTTTTATTGGATATTGATTGATCGTCGGGTGATTTTCGAGGTAAATTTTGTTAATTGGGAAAAGCTAAGACGATCTAATGTTGTCAGCATCAATAACTTTTACAGCTTATGATTTGCGAAAATTTCGCTTCATATTTTAGCCTTTTTTAGCAATTTCTTACTTTATTAACGACGGAACGGGGGAAGGAGACAAAAACTAAATCAAGTTTTTTTTTAGGATATATCGAAATGATTCCGGCTAATTCTAAACGGAATATTAACCCGACACATAGTGACATTAAAAATGCTTTGCCGAGAAAAAATAAACGGACGGGATTGACCGATTTGAGCAATGTAAGTTTTACCATTCTACTATGAAAGGTCTTCATTTCATCCCTTAATTTGATGTGTTCCAGGCCATCAGCTCAACTTTACATATTAGTTCAAAAGTCAGCGAAAATATTGAAAAGCAGAATATCGAAAAGCCCAGGAGAGTGCAACCCGTTGTACGAGCTAAGTCTGAAGAGAGAAAATCCGTGCGGTATATTTAAATGTTTGATATCGTTGTCACTTTATGAATATAACTTTATATCATTGGTATAGTTGTTTTAGCATCAGAAAATAGTACCGAGATTAGCTGGTAATGGTAAGAGCAAAGGGTTCTTTCTAGCATTTTTAAATTGTTTCAGTTTCAATGAAGCAAAGTATGAATCTGATTCGGAAGCCTCCAAACATTTGGATTTAACAGTGAGTGTTGAGTAATTTATATTCATAAATGGAAATTCTTCTAAACTAGATTACATCACAACATCTAAAAGTAATGTGCAGAAGTGAGCAAGGAATTTCAGATCTGGATGGATCCATGTCCGGAATTTGATTATGATGCTACTAATCTTGGTGATCCGTTCCAAGCTCCGGAGTACGCAATGGACATCTTCAATTACTACCATCATCGAGAAGTAGCTTTTTTTTTCTGAATATGCTTTTTCGATACAAAGCATTGTGCTTCTACAACAATAATGTATGTTTGCATTCCGTAGATAATTGTGTAAGCTAGATTTCAAGTATTTCTTTTCAGCTAAAGTTTCGTGCTTTTGATTATCTATGCAGACATCCGTTACTGAAGAAAATCCGTCGTGCAAAAGTTGTTGATTGGTTTGTGCGGTGTCAAGAAGATTTTGAGGTCAATCATGAAGTGCTTTATCATACCGTCAAATTGTTTGATCTCTATATGTGCGCTACCAACAATATGGAACAATTTGATTATATCGGAGCAGCTGCAATGATTGTTGCAGCGAAATTAGATGTATGTTGATTTGGGAATTATTTCTCTCTTTTTTCTCGTTTTTAATTCATCAACAGCTTAATATATGAATACTGTTCAATCCAATTTTAATTTGTTTTAGACTCAAATGCTGGGATAATGAACTGAGTTTTGCTTCAGTATAATAGTCACAGTAGAGAAACTAAGTTATATATTCGTATTGTTAATATTAAGCTCTATGTTTTAGATTTTATTGATCTTCGAGTGTTTCCATAACGCATAAAGTTTTTTTTTTTTTTTTTTTTCATCCTTAATGTCTAATTTCAGCAGCAAGGTCCACCTCTTCCCGATGATTTCATAAATCTTCCTATCACTGACAGAGTCAAAAAAGTCAACAATTACGAACGGCGAATTTTAACTGCACTCAACTGCGATGTCAATTTTCCCCTTTCATATCGTTTTTTGCGACGTTATTCTCGTACTGGAGGTTTGGACATGCAAACACTCACAGTGGCACGTTATGTGCTGGAAACATCACTGCTTTTCTATGAATTTATTTGTGTTCCAGACAGTTTAATGGCTGCCGCAGCTTTACTTCTGTCTATGAGGATGATACGAACTGGAGAATGGGTATATTCGCTTCCTAAAAGTCTTTTTTTTTTCCAAGTTGCATAATAAAACCTCACATGTCACAATGGACCTATATTTAGAAGCAATGAGCTTTATAAAGATGATGTTAACTTATTTCCAGTCAACAAGGTTGATCAAATATTCTGGCTATAAATTGGAGCATGTAGAGCCGCTTATGTGGCGCTTAAATCATATGATGAGGATGCGTTCAAAAGTCTATCCAGCATGCATAAGCATAGAGGAGAAATATAGCCATCCGTATGTTCATATTTCACTCTTGCAAGTTGAATCGATAAAGTGTTAACAAAACTTTCTTAACTCTCCGTTGCTTCGCATTCATCATTTTATTGCGGCAATAAAGATTACCACGTAATATTTTTCAGGATTTTCTACAGTGCTGCCGACGTACAACTCCTCCCGGATAAGCGTCCACGTAATGAACCAGTTGGACCACCTGTAGGTCTCGGTTTCGGAACTGTAGAACGCGAACCAGTTGGACCACCTATAGATCTCGGTTTCGAAACTATAGAACTTGTTTGAGGTGCCCGAGTAATTTAATGGTTGAGAAGGGTAGGAATAGAGAGAAGACAAATTACGATTATCTTCTCGTAAATATGGCCATAATTGTTCTAGAATGTACTACCAAAATCCAGAAACGAACTAGATCATCTGATGAAGAAATAAAACGTCGTGAAGTGCTGCAATTTTGAAAAATCCGACAAATCTTTCCCAGGGAAAATTAACATTGATACTGAACAGGTAACAATATTTTTAGTTATTAATGAAATAGTTCGATTCATCCCTGGATTCTGATGGTATGTTTTAGGGTAGCTGTGATCATATTCCTGCAAATTATCCTTTATTTACTTCATTTTGTTTCAATTTTTATCCAGTATCATTCTCTGCTTCCCAGTTATGCCATAGATACATTTATTAACTCTTGTTACAAACTATAATTTTTCTACATCCTCTCTCTATTACTATAGCTGCAGTATATCACTATCCTTCTTTTCAAAAAAAGCCAATTATTAAGTCTAGAGTTCAACAAAATAAAGCGTTGTTAATATCTTGCATCTGACATTTACAATTTGAATATTTGAATTTGAGTCCCTGAATATGAATTTCATAGCTAATGCTGATCTGCTACATATTTTTGGGATGAATTGTTTTCCCACTTCATGGACATTACTAATCAAATATAGAAATTGGCAAGTGGAGAACACATAATATACATCACTGACGAGTAGAAGTATCAACGTCAACTTTGCAAAGCTTCGAAGTATATCAAATTTGAATAATGCTTGTGGCAGCAATTGATCCTTGCTGGCTAATGACGCATTCAATTATGGCGACACTCATGTCTGTTATATCAGCTATTGGAATATTGCTTAGGCGGTGTAAATCGTTTGTAACCTGCAAAGTTTTGACTTGATATAAGGAACGAGTTTTGAAAAAGTTCTGTAGCGGTTTTATTTCGGGAACTGAAAATTAGGACTTACTTCATCAGCTACTTGCATTCCATCGATGCAACAGGCAGCAGTCACAATTACTCCACATGCTAGCAAGAACCAGTCTGCTTGCACGCGACACATTTGTTCACTAAAATTATGAGAACATTTTTGCCCGAACTTTTGGCACTGCAGAAGTTAAGGTCATCTTAATTTTGTTTTGAATTGGTCTCTTAAGGCGCGTGTATAAAAGATAAGTTGATTTGAGGACATTGTAAAGCTCAGGAATACTAACACTAGATTATGTTGGAGAAGGATGAAATTCAACGGGCAGTTTTAGCTAAATAGCTAAAATTGCCTGCTAAACTTATAAGTTTGTCTTAATAAAATGCCGGTTAGTTCTGGAAAAGTAGCAGTTTACTTCTTTGGAGTTCATCTAATGTCACAGAAAATTGCAAACTTCCAAGTCATGATGGGTCGTTGTTACCTGTTCATCCTGTAACAAATATAATTTTTGAGGAAGTATGGAAATACTTTAGAAAAAAAAACCGCGTAATGATTTCTGCTGAAGGACCCAGTACATTGCACATCATTCGGTTATACACATCGTTCCAGTGAATGAAGACGCAATCCAACACTAGCAAGATATAATGCCAATAATCACTTGCTTCAACATTTTGTCTCCATTTCGTTTCTGCAACTATAGCAGTAACTTAGTAGCATTGCCTTAATCGTTTCTTACAGTATCTCCTCGTAAAAGATGATGACAACTTTTGAAGTCTCCCTCTTAAAATTAGTCCTTCTACGAAATAAGTTCAGCTCCTAATTAAAATAACCAAACAGTATAGTGAATTCTGCGTAACGATAGATAAAATTTTAGCAGGGCCGAGATATAATAAAACTTTGATTCGGTTATCTAACAATTATTTGACAAAATTTCACTGCTTGACAAAATTTCACTGCTTGACAAAATTTCACTGCTTGACAAAATTTAATAAATGTGAGGTAGATTTCGAATTTCGAACTTACTAAGAATTTTAAACAGCGATTCGATGTAAACAAGTGGGGTGCAGTGATAGGCAGGTTCCCAATCAATCATCGATAAAACGCGTAATTCAGACCGCACAACGGATTCTTCCGTATAAGCAAATCCCAATGTTTTCAGACATAATTTTACAGTCTGAACTGACAAGCTCTATAAAAATTAAAAAACATGTAAGGAGGTAACTGCATGATTGATAATTTAACATTCCCCTAAAAATTCTTTTCCAAATAATTTCATGTAAACGACTTACTAACTTTGCCATAAAACTGTAACTGAATCATCTTTAGACAAATAGCTTTCTTCAACTAAAAACTATACACTGTCACAAACAATACCACGGCTAAACGTAAATGGGCCATGGTAATGAATGGTGATCCCGTTATTAGACTTTCAAAATAACGCTTCCACAATTCTCCAATCTAATACGGTTCATCAAATTTGTGCGTCCAGAAATATCGGTTTTGATCTAGAGATTTAATTAACTTTCTGTATATTGAGCCACAGCATTACAAAGTATCCTTTTTAGACACAAGCAATTTCTGCTTTCATTATCTCGAATTTTAAAGGTAAAATTCATCATAATATTTACTTCATTATAACTGTGCATTTTAGAGGCAATTTGAATTGATGAAAGCATTCGTAGCGTTGTTTGACGTGACAACGTCGCTTCGATTTGATTCCATTCACAATATTTCTTCCGATCTGATTGTTTCGAGTTATACACACTTTCATGCAAGCGACTAACTAACTGTACCATAAAACTACAAGTAATTTCATCCTTGTAGTTTTACAACATAGAAAGACAAATAGGTTATTTGTCACAACAAACTATTTCACTACAACTGATAAAATATTACTATCGCAGTAATAATGATACGGTTTATTCATATTTTAATAAAATAGACGACATTGCTAATGATGAATTAAATTATTTCATTATTGTAATTAACGTTGGAAAAAGAATTACTAAAATATAGTAAACATAGAAATTTAGTAATCCTCAAATATTCTTCTCTTTCTCTTTTACTCATAAATGTGAGAAAGAAATAAGCAAAATATTTTGCTTACTTATCAAATATTAATAGTGCACTGTATTTCACTTCTTGTGGTAAACGAAGTCTTGTACAAGCAGTAAAAATATATTCAGCGGAACGAGGTGTATGAAATACATGACTCCACTCATTCTGCAAGTATAATTATGAAAATTGTCGCATAAAAAAAAAAGGTTTTAAATAGTCGAAATTCTGTACAAGGATCTTACACGAAAAGTTTGACAAACCTTTCATCTAGCTATATATTCGATTTCAAATTCATGAAGTGAAATGGAGCTTTCAACAAAAATAAAAAGTTTTCCTAAGTTTTTTCAAGTTAGATTCGAACATCGAAAAATGCGCATGAAGTATGAATTTGTTTCGAATGATTCCAAACTAATCATTTATTAAATTTCTAATAAATCTACAGATCATACAGATCAGAAAATTACAGCATCACTAATTCGTCGGCTATTTTCGGCAGCTAGTACACTAATCCAATCGTTATGCATATCTTGTGGAAGACAAGCAGTTCGATCCAAAAAATCTGGGTCCAGTATGCGGGGAACCTACAATTTTCTTGATCTTTTGCTTAACATATAAATCAACTTTCATACATCAAATAAGTTCCGTCAATCCATATAGCATGCATTCCTCTTATTCATAATAATTATAAAGATTTTCAAATATTCTGCAAGATTTAAAAAAAAAAAAAAAATTTAACAGATATATGAAGAAAACGAAATGAAATAAAAAAATCCACCAAATTATATCATCCCTTTTTTATGTGTTATTCCTTACAAATTCTTAACGATTTCCATACCTGATCCGTTTCATCGTTATTTTTTCCTTTTTTCGATTCTGTCATAATATCTGAAGCCATCAATAACATATAACTTGTAAAATTTTCAAACAGTTCCGTATGACAACAAAAAGAAGTCGTTAAAAATCGTTAAAAAATTATATAGACATACTAAAAATTAGTAATAATGGATGGAACAAAGAAAAGAAACGTTAAATTTATGCGTACGTAATATCTAACGACTTATTTCTATTATAAGAATTCAATGAAAAATCGATGATGAACTTGCACGTTTATCAGAGACTATCATTACGTGTATAATCTTTTATGCAATAACAATGAAGCGATGAGCGTCTGCCTGCATATGTTATATGCTTACGTGCATTTCGCCATTTTCTATGTTTGAAATGGATGAGAGATGCGTATGTTTTTTTAGGCTAGTAGTTGGTTGTATTATTGTTATGTAGAATTACGTAAGAGATTACGTGAGGGACGTGTGGTATTTACACATAGAATTGCGTTATGTGTACATTCAGCCATCCATTTCCTACGTTTGAAACGGATGAGAAATGCGTGTGTGTTTTTTAGACTAATGATTTATTGTATTATTAGAAGCCATGTGAAAGATTGCGTAAGTCGTTACGTGAAGACTATATTATTTACTTATATAGTTTATAGGTAAAGCGTAACATCCTAAAATAGTACTCAATATTTACAAATTAGAATAATTAATTGCTGCTTTTATATGTAGACCTTGTTTAACGAAACAAAATAGAATTTTCTTATTAGAATATATTTAACTTGTGCATTCATCAAAATGGACTTATACTTAATATATGCCTTTGTATAAAATAAGAATTTAATTAACATATAAGTGAGGTATGTATACATTGCCTAACATATGATATATTCCTTTATACATACATTTTTTTATGATGGAATTAATTCAAGGCATAAATGAGGTATGGTTATTGACCTCTTCTTTATACTCAAAATGCAAGATAAAATGAAATATGAAACTAATTTTCTTCCTTCAACATTTCAGATTTGATGAATATCTCCTCTCATCGGATGGCAAGTCCCCGTTATAGAAATGCCGTTAACCTAGCTTCGTCAGGCATCACTAAACGAGAACGGCACCTCTGGATTTGTTCACAGATACATTCTCGAGTAAGCTTATTTAATCTTCTTGCCATATCTACTCTTTTTTTTTCCTAGCGATTCATTTTTACATTAAAATACACCGGAACTCATGTTTATAAATAAGTACTGGTAACTGGGAAATTCCACAGTTTGTCTTTGTGTTATCGATTAACTACTCCGATCGTAATAATCTGAAAACCGGAACCTGATTGTTAAGTAGTGATATTTACAGGCAGTCTTCTTTATCGTTCAAGTTCTGATGATTCTTTTATCTTTGACAATATTGATGCAAAGTGTCACTAAATCGTTGTCGGATAGGCTTAATCGGGGGCATATTTTTATCGCTTATGCCATTTTTTTTGGGTTTGTTGTCTTTTTTAAGCTTCGGCGACAAGTTAAAGCTTTTAATAAGTGTCGTTAATTACGTTTGCAAAAGTATGAATAGCTTGATTTGTATGAGTCCTCACAATTTGAGCTAATACATTTCGTCATATTCGTTCTACTTACCCTTTTCATCACCAGAACTCGAATAATCTTGTTTTTTCCAGAGCTGTTTCTGGGATCTGGGCATTAAAACTTGTGGATAATGAGCATAAAAAAGGAAGTCGAATAAAAAGACATGCCGTCATTCTTCCCAAATTCATCATTATCCCATCCTACATCGTTCAGGTTTACATAAATTAATCAAGAAATTTACATTTAAATTAATTTGAATTATATGGGAATTCCAGATCTGTACCAAGAGAGACTTGTAAACCTAATTTTCTGTTAAAATTTTTTTAAAGCTTTTGAAAACTTTCTGTTTGAGATTGGTCTTATAATTTGGTTCGCATATGGAACTTTATCTTATTTAATAGCGAATGTGTCTTCGTTTATGGAGCAATCGCCTTTATTTCTGTTTTTTGGTGTTTTGATTCCAATTTTGATTGTATGGCTTATAATTTTGTACATTTTCGCTGCGGAAATTAGTTGCCTTACATACGTAATCAATCGTTCTCGTCATTGGCGTCATACACAATATCCACCCTCTTTATTAAATATGTGTGCTTTAAATAATGGTAAGTAAATCTTCTTTTTATTACCAACCAAGTTATCAAAGGTTCATCCTACTGACCTTAACTTGCGAAGTTTTTGGGAATAGTTTTGCACTACACCGTTGTACGTTATTACTAACCCTCCTGCTTTTGTTGAAAATATCAATTTACTGAAATATCACGTTTGATCGTGTAATCTATATGATTAGAATACGATTAGAAATTTTTTTTTCAAAAAGTGAATAACGAAGATTTTAGTTATTTTAAGCAGTAGATTTCAACTTTATTGAAGTTCCAGAGTTATTTGGTTTTTAATATTTCTGAATTGTTTTATAGCTTACACTTTTTGCAGAGAGACATCCATTTGAATCATCATCATCAAGAAACCGTAACTGTTATCTTGCCACGAATACTGTACACGAACGTGAACGAATCAAGCCAGCTGAGTTAGTTGTTATAGTTAATAGATGAAAATCCTCATTTGTCTCATTCATATTTCTTATTCTTCAGGTTTCATGTTCTTGCTCATAATTATTTTCTACAGAAATTTCATTGGATCATGGGAAGCATTCAATAATACAGAAACCAAAATTGAAATAATGCCTCCCATGCATGCAGCAGATGATATGACACCATGTTTCTCGGAATGTCCTCGAAAGGGTATCTCGATAATTACTTCTCAGCTTGACACTGTTCCAGAGGAATCTTCAAAATCCACAAATTCTTTAGCATAACATAATTTTGTTTTCCAAATTCTTTCGTCATTGTTTGATGTAATTCCTGCTAGTATGTCTTTTTTAAAACATCACCTGAAAGGATTTTTCCAGCCAAGTCTTAACCTGGTTTTTTTTTCCTATTTTACTCTCGTTGATTCACGTTCTTTTTTCCAGGGAATTACCCAAGTTAGTGTTTTTCTGTAATTTTGGAAACTGTTATTTTGAAAAGATTCTGTTTAACATTTTTTGATAAATGTTATTTCCTTTGCTTACAAGTAAGTATGACAGCAATATGATTACCAATGGATTGAAAGTTAGCAAAAGCTTCATTTTCAGTTCTTTTACCAAGTTTCTTAAGGCGACCAAATTTGTCACGAAGGTTCAAGGCTCATTGAATTATAGATAAATTGCTGCAGAAAGCAAAAAATCTATAGCAATGAAAAAACAGTGCCCTCTGGATTAAAAGATGGCGCCGTTTTTCTTAGTTTCAGAATCTAATTTTTATCTTGAATCCATTCAGTTAATGTAGCTGCAACATTCTCATACATATTACCAATGAAAATTTTTCCCTACGTAAGTTGCGCTTGAACCATTATTTCATAACCAAGAAGTTTTCAATCAACAGTAAACTTGGCTACTTAGGTAGGATGAAGTAGCGCTGTTTTTTTTTCCTGGCGAAATATTATAAAAGAAAATGATAGAAACAAATTGTGTACGTTGAAGTACTACATCTCATTTTAATGAATGCAACCAATCTGTCATGAAAAAAGAAACAAGCAGGTGAAAAGAAAGCAATTCTTTTTTTTGAAATGTTTTTTTATTTCCCCTATCAGTTAATTTATTTTCTTTTCCAAATTCTGTGACTGATGCGGGATGAAAGGAGTGAGTTATACATTATAAATGATATATTCACTCATTTCTGAATAGAAATTACGGTTGACATATCCACTGATTTCTGTATTGAAATTACAAATGAGATATTCACTCATTTCTGAATTTAAAATACATTGTTAGGGCAAATTATTTGAGAATACCCGGCACTTAATCATCTATCAGGAGATTCTAGCATTTTACATTGGTAGAAATATCGTATGTTATTCAATTTCCCTCGAAATTGTTCGCTTCATTTAAAAAATCTTAATTGCCCTACTTCACTCTCTCCAACTTTTCATACTTTTCCTTTCTCTCAAGTATACAAATAGTTCCGGAATTTATTAATAAATGACAATAAATTGAATGCAACTAACGATGTCAAATAACATTATAACCGATAGTTCAAAATGCTACTGTACGCCTGCTTGAAATTTAGAATTATTAATAAAATTTAGATTTTCTTCTTAGCCTTCCAAAATATCTGAACAATCCTACCTATTTTATATAAGTTCAAAAGATTATGACCACTATGAATCGATAAAATTTCAATAGCTCCATTTATTACTGTAATAAATTAAGTGAAAAAAGAAAAGTTTTGCATGCTTGAAAAATACGATATTTATGTTTAATTGTAAATAAATAAGTCTTGTTATTCAATAATAGTAAAAACATTTTATTAATTTTAAATTTCGGAAGAAAAGAAACAGTAGCACTGAAATTGTTAAATTGATGTTGGATTTAAACTGTTTTACAATAAGTCACCTGTAAGGAATAAGATGTATATTGCAATTTCTAATGAATCATATATTTTAATTTTCATAAAGTCGGAAATGAAAATTGAAAGAAATACAATTTTAATTTCCCATTTATTCTAAATAACTGATTACTTCATTGCACACTTTTTGCTTAAACACTCTTATTTTGTTCTTTAAATTGATAAATCATTTCTGTCGCACCTTATCAACTCATAATCTTTTTGAATTATTACAACATTGCAAAACACAAAACGTTACACTACCAGATAACGATGTTAGTAATTTTTTTGAAAATAACTTACAATACTTAACTTTATAACTATTTAAGGTCGCTAAAAAAAAAAAAAACGAATGCATTTGTAAATAAGTATTATTATTAGAATAAAAGACGAGAGGAGTGGAAATTAATAAAACTAATGATATACTTCTACCGCTTAATGATTTGTTTTATAAGGATATACCTTCACATATATATTTTAGTCTCTAAAAAATCTAATTAAAAATCCGATTAAATTTATCCATATGAATATTTTTTCGTCCGATTT